TCCATCCATCCATCCATCCATCCATCCTTCCTTTCTTCCATCCATCCATCCATCCATCCATCCATCCATCCTTTTTCCTTTCTTCCATCATCCATCCATCCATCCATCCATCCATCCATCCATCCATCCATCCATCCATCCATCCATCCATCCATCATCCAAACTTATTGATGCAGATTATAAGAAATGAAACATTACGAAACTAAAAAAAGAAACTAAAAAACTCTACATTTCCATCTTGTTGTTCTTTAAACTCATTCGTCTTCATTTTGATTGTTAACAATTCATTAATTTTCTTTCATCAGATATTTTGGCGAGGAGACCAGATTTGTCTCGTGTCTCATCAGTTCTGGTTCCTGTGAGCCTAATGGGTAAAAAAGGACCGCTCGAGCAGCTGATGATCAGCTGACAGAACACCGGTGGTTTCATGGAGCTGCATTTATTCTTATTTATTAGCAACACCGCAGAGGAATGTGACACTGACTCCTCCAGATCTGATTTGTAGCTCCACACCGATATTGTCTCCATCAGTCAGTGTGTAATTCGCAGCCAGACGTGCTGGATGTGAGCTGGAAGGAGGGTTTTCTTACGGTGACGCAGAGTTTGGTCGGAACCGGAACCTCGAAGGGAATGTCAGTGTCCAGGAAGTCGGAGTGATCCAGACAATCCAGGGTGCCCTCGTCAATGGCCTAAACAGGAAGTGACGAATTAGTGAAAGAAAACAGCTCACTTAAATTCTGACTAGATGAAACTAGATGTTTCTGGTGTTTAAAAACATCATGGAGATGATAAAGTGATTTTTTTAAAGGCTGTAAGCTGAGACACTCACGTCACACAGGTCCAGGAAGTGGTTGAGAAAGATGAAGGCCATGTTTTCCCAGCCAACAGCCTGCCAGGATAAACAAACAAACAAAAGATAACATGTTTGGTAAAATATTTTATTATGAAGACTTCTCTAAAAATACAGCTTTACATGATCAAAATCAAACGTCAAAGGTCTGATCGACTTCATACTGAAGGAAGATCAATAATCACTAGGAGCAACAAATATTGATTTAAACTGTCCGTTAACTAAAACTGAAGGGTTTAAAAACAAGTGAGGAACATCTGGAATACATATAAAACTGAAAGGATGACTGTCACTCGCCACCTTTTGTCCCAGTGTCAGACTAACGTGTTGAGAAATGACGGCCGATTTGATCAAATCTGGAAAATAATAACGATAACGTTATTTGTGAGATGTAGAAAGTCTCGTTTTAAAACATAAACTGAGAAATAAAAACAAAGATTTTGAGAGGTCGAGGACTTCTTTCATCCCAGCAGCCCCCTTTCAACTTCCTCCTCAACGCAGAGCATACCTCACCCTCTCTGGATTCTCTTCCACCTGCTCCCTATAGACCAGAATTGTGAGGATCAGTGGGTATTTGTTTTGTGATCCTTGTGTTTTTCCAGCTCCTGTCACACCTGTCCCCTATCACAATCACCCCAGGTGTTCATCATTGTCTCTTGTTAGTGTTCTTATTCTGCGTCTCCTCGTTGTTCCTCTGTCCGTGGATTGTCCTGTCTAGGCTCATGTTCTGTCTCGCTCTGTGTCTCCTAGTACGTAAGTTTTGCTGCCACGTCAGCCTTTTTGTTAACTTTAATAAATATTATTCTTTATTTTATTCTTGAGTTTCCGAGTCCTGTCTGCACCCTGGGTTCAACCACACAACAGATCATGATAATGACAGAACAAAACCTGGTAAAACTAAAACTGATATTTTCCATTCTTTAACTGGTGGACTTACCCTGCAGGCCAGACCAGCTTCGTAGAAAGCTTTGTCTGCAGGAATGAGCTCCGTGTGACGCAGCAGAGACACCGACAGCTTGGCTGCTACGCTCACCTGAAAACACACAGCAGCAGAAAAAGAAGATGAGCAATGAACCCTGTAATGTACCGAGGTAGAATTCCAGGTGTAGGCGTAAAATCTACCAGCTGTTCGACTCCTTTAGCAGCAGATCTGGTGGCGAAGTAGTGAGCAATCGGCAGCATCTGTTCGAAGTCTTCGTGAGCAGGAGAGTTGGCCTCGGCTGACTTGGACATGTTCTCACACTGAAACGAGCCACACAAAGACAGAACAGCCTCACAAGATGTCTGCTTATAAGCACATGAAGTGTTCACTGAAGGCGTTGTGCTTTACCAGCTGCAGCAGGAAGTTCCGGAGGTCCGCCCACATGCGGTAAGACTCGGGCCCGTCGGTGTCGGAGAGGTTCATCAGATCCAGGAACAAACGCTTGTAGATGTTAAAGTTCTGATCACAAACATCAGTTATATTACTTTTTAAGAAAAGTAAAGTTAAAATTAAGTTATCAAATGTGAAATCACCTGAGGGTTCGGCGGAGCTCCGTGCTGAACGTAGAGCTGCAGAGCTTTCACAGCTTCTCCTTCTTTGATGAGATGAGTCGCGTAAAGAGCCACGTACTTATGGAGGATCTTAAAGTTCTGGTAAAAACACAAAAGCAAAGACTTTTTTTTTACTGTGTGTGTGTTAAAGAAAGTTAAATTATAAAATTAAACTCAACTCTCTGAAACTTATTTAACATTATTTATCTACAGTACAAACAAAAGAATTATGACAGAAATGTCCTTAAAGGCAATTTATTTAAAGAGCAAGCATTTTTTTTGGTGCTGGGCTGAACTGAAATAATTTATTCAAAACTAAAATTTAAAACCATCTTGTAAATAGTTTGCGAGTCATGAAAGCTGAGGAGAAAGTCTTAAAGTAAATGCCTTTAACCATTCTTTTTATTTATTTTTTAATTTTAGATAACATAAACTTTGTTGCTATAATAATAATGACATAAAAATAACATTTTTTCCCCTCAACTGGTTAAAAACTGAAAATAGCGTCAACAGAGAGAAATATATTTCTATCTTAATATATATTATCTTCCTCTAATGTGTGATTATTTGTATTCTTTATGTTTTATATGGCATCTTGTATCATAATTTTATGTGTTAAGGGAAGTGAAGTCTGAGATTGTCATATGTTTCCATACAATGGTAAAATTAGTTCTCTGCATTTAACCCATCACACCTGAGAAACACCCAGGTGGAGCAGTGGGCGGCTATGTAGGCGCCCGGGGAGCAATTAGGGATTAAGTGTCTTGTTCAGAGACACCACAACATGTGGGAATGGCTGAGAACCGAACTGCAACTTTCTGGTCTCCAGTTGGCTTCCCTGCCTTTACCCCATCTCGACCCCTCAAAATATGGCACCTGGTATTCCCAGGCGGTCTCCCATCCAAGTACTAAGCAGGCCTGACCCTGTTTACCTTCTGAGATCAGACGAGATTGGGCGTGTTCAGAATTCGAATCCTTTTATTGTCATTGCACAAGAAGCACAACGAAATTTCATTTCAGTACAGCCGTCCAAAAAAACCAAAAAGACAACCAACAACATAAGGCATGGGTAAACAGGTGCCTGAGGCTGCAGCCTCATGGGAGGCGCTGCCCTTTTCATTAGATAAGGAAAAGGGAACCATGAGGAAAGAGAAGGTAAAACAAACATATCAAGTGTGAACCTCAGCACAAAAAGCAACATACAGATGACATAATAACATATGCATTATGGAGGGAGTGAGGGTGGAGGGGGGGCTCCTAGCACAGGCTGCCCAAGTGAGCGATGCAGCCACATGGTGCCTCGCATCTGACCTAGGTTACTGCACCGGGGGGAAGGTGGGGGCAAAAGGAGGGAGGCCAGCGAAGGCGGTGAGTTTACAGCACAGGACAAAGAGCAGAAGTAAGGCAGGTAGGGGAAGGAGCGGGAGGAAAAACAAAAGCGTCCACCTTCACTGAAAGCAGGAAGAGAAAGGTGGTATGACCATAACCAAAGAGACAAGGTGGATCTTTTGTTCCGGAGAGGTTCTGTTTCCGGTAGGAAGAATTTCTTAGATGCACGTCTACATTTCCCAACAGACAAACACCAGCATTCAAATATGAGAGTTGAGGACTATTGGCCGAGAGCTGGTCACATGATGGAGTACAAGGACTTCCCATAGGTCGTTGGTGACAAACACTTCCTGGAGGTGTGGCCAGTTCTGACGAGAACTGTTGATTCTTCGAAGAGTCGGTGTAAAGCAGGCTCGTGGTGTGTTTGAATGGCCCACGCTGTATGGAATTTTGTGTTTTACATGTGCGTAAAAAAAACTTCTAAAATGGCACCAGATCTCTTCTTCAGAGCTGCTTCAGACCTTTTGAGACCACGTTAACAAGAGTCCAAGAGCAATAATAATGACACATTAACTTATCTTGACATTATTATAGTATCTAAGGGTCTAAAATATATATTTTTTAAATAACCAATGAAGTAGATTTCCACTATGTTAGCTTTGATCTCAGAAGCACTAAAAGTCAATCTGCTCACATGAGACAAAAACAAGAAAAGTCCTGAAAATAGAAACCAGACCGCTCTTACCTCGCTAACATTCAGAACAAACGGCTCAAACTCGTAAATAAATCCAGTAAACGACACAAGCTGAGGTTTACCTTTGAAACTTTAAGGGCTGAACAATTTCTGGTAATATTAACTGAACAGGTTGTATTAAAGACGGTTGTTTGTTCGGTACCTGTTTGGACGCTGTGTCCAGACATTTGTCCCACTGTCCTTTCTCAGCGTACAGGTCCAGAGCTGCCATGACGTCCACACCCACCAGCTGAACACACAGACACAACAACAGCTCGTCACTTCCACCGGACACAGCGTGAAAACACAACTGGACCATCAGATTTTCTGTCTCGAACTTTTAGCCCAAACATTTAGTACCAGATAAATAACATGACGATAAAGAAAAACAGTTTTTAGGAGGAGGAAGCGACTTACAGAATCGACTTTGCCTTGGTTTTTAAGGTGCTCTTTGTACTTCTGGTCCACATAACCCTCGTATCTGTAAAATCAGCATCAATTGCATGAAAATAAAAGCATTTTCTCTTTTGTTTTTATGTTTCTGGTAACCATGGTGACACTGGGGTGCTTTAAAAACCTCGGCTCCAGCTCCTTGGCGACTCTCTTGGCTTTGTTCCACTCCTCTCCCTCGATGAAGACGTCGATCGCCTCTTTGATCAGGTCCAGGTTTAAGTAGAGCTCAGCAGCCTTGGACAAAAACAGAAAGCCAAAAACCCAACACTGTTACACAACAGCTGAACTAACGGGACAAATTTATAATTGAAGCGTTTAAACATTTTATTTCCTATTACAAAGCCTTTTGTTGTTGTTGTTGTTTTGGTGCATGTTTGTGTTTTCACCCACAGCGTTGAACCTCCTGAGCTGTGTGAGCCGCGGTCCGATGGTCCGAATCACCTCTGCGGCTCGGTCTCCGCTCTCGAACTTGATTGACAGCTCCGCTGCCTTCAAACACACAAATTGAAGGTTTAGCTCAGGCTTGTGTTTTTAAAATAAAACCTGAAGAAAACTAGGATTCTGTGGAGGACACTGTTTACAGCTCCAACAAGTCTGACCAGAGCTAATGGCACATTACACGACTGTCGACCAACTTTTATACAACCTGTAGCAAGGGCCTCGACAAGAAAAGGCCCAAACTTTGATCTTGATTTATGACCTTGAAGTTAGGGGCGAGACAAGAGAACGTTTAGCTACTTACGGACGTGCATATGGATGGAGACTATTCCATAATGCGTCTGGATTTGACGGGTGTATAAAAGTACAAATCTGTTCAGCTTACTACTGCCCACAGCCATGAAAGCTGTGTGCGTTTTCCTTTTTGTTAGCAGAATATATAATGAACCATTGGATGGGTTTAACTGAAAATAATCCCAGGATGTACGTCTGCAACTGATTAGTTTTTAGAATCAGCCCGATTCAAGATGGCTGCCACAGCTAATCAGCCTTAGCAAACACAAAAATAGCTATAACTAGGGATGCATGATATTATCGGCATGGTATCGGTATCGGCCAATATTAGCGATAAAGTTAAATATCTATATACATATTTATACAGTGTTCATCATTTTCCGACCCCTTTTTGGCATCTGCATTTGGTAGCAGGCCAAATTGACAAAGACCATGCAGAAAAATGAATAATGTAGTATTTTAATTCTACAGCAGAGAAAGCTGTGTAGTCTCTGTAAGTAGGTCTAGGGGAAAAAAAAAATAAATATTGGTATCGGTTATCGTCCAAACAAGTTTTAACATATCGGATATCGACCAAAACCCCGATATCGTGCATCCCTAGCTATAACTGTCGGTTTTACAGATGCTGAGCTAAACTTTGGTGTGGTAGTAGCTGAGAGCTATCCCCAATACAAACTCCGAGTGCTAACAGCTCATACAAAATCTTTGTTTAAAACTTCAGCAGGAAAGGCAGCGGGCGACGTGTGCTACGTCAGGGAACGCTTCTTTAGTCGATCTGCGTTCTTGGTTTTTCTTCTTTGGCCGATTTTAAATAAAAGCACAGGCGACAGAAAACAGAAGTGATTCAACTCTGATAAAATGAACCACATCTGGGCTGAATTTGTTTCCTTGGGGTTCACATTGATCAAATATTAAAAGAAGCATTAAAGATAACAGGTGATGTGCACGTTTGAGCTCGGCACCGAGAGGAACCGTATTGATCGCAGTGATCCTGTGATCTTTGCTCCAACACCACCAGGAGGGCAAACGTTTAGTATGTAAACAAACGCGGGACTCGCGCTGATGCTGCGGTCTCTGGGTTAATCCAAGTCCCGCAGGACGTGAACCCATCGATCCTCGAGACCCCGTGACCTTCGTCTTTAGGCTCACGGTGAAACGGATCATTGAGATACTGAACGATCTGACCTGAGCAGAGCAGAAATCAGAAACCTCGCAGTGAATCTTTAACGGACTTCGATCAGGAAGGTTCTGATTAAACAGTAAAAAAACGTGACACCGAGGTACCGAGTGCTCCTTTTCTTTGATGATGGTTTGATTTATTTTCATATTAACAGTCATTTTGAACAGGAACTCTATGCCAGTCCTTATGCTTCATGCTCTCTGGTTGTTAAACGCCTCAGACAGAACTCTGAGGTGCAGTCGGGCCGGACGGAGCAGCAGAAATTATTTTAGGAAGATGAACTTCTACCTTCATCCAGCATTTCTCCATCAGGGCCACGTTGGAGTCGTCCTTCACCTTCAGGTAACACTCCACGGCTCGGTTGTATTCACCGGACTGTTCCCACTCCTTCGCCTGCTGCAGCAAACCCTCCACCCCCCTGAACCACAAACACAGACTTACATCAGGTTGCTTCATAGAGGGGGGGGGGGGGGGGGGGGGGTGTTCTGCTGGGGAAACAGGCAACATGCAACTCTTTCTAATATTAAAATGATCCCCAAAGGATTTCTATGTAATTAAATGTTTTAAGGATGTTTTATACTGTATTCGTATACTGGTGCCTTTTGTTTTTGTTGCTACTTTAATTTTTAGCCATCATTCTGCTACTTTTAGCCTTTAGATAACCTTTTGCTGACTTTAGCTATCATTTTGGATCTTTTAATTCTTTATGTAGTTTTTAGCTAAATTTTTGTTGTTTTTAGTGTTTAGCTAATAATATGTTTCTGCTTTTAATGTTTTTTTTTTGTTGTTTTAGCTAAACCTGGGCAGATTTTAGCTAGTATAGCTAATTAAAACATTTTGCTAAATTCTTGCTGCTTTAAACTACGTTTTTGCTCTGTTTCTTTAGCATGTTGCTATTTTAAGTTAATCTTCTGCTTCTTATGGCTTCAGTCACCATGTTTCAGTATTTTCAGCAAATTCCTTCAGCTGTCAACATCCACACTGTAACGTCTCAGAAAATTCTGTTTCTCTAATATTGATGTGTCGAAGAATATGTTTTTTATTTAGCTCCATGTTGGCTCTGATTCCTTGGAAGAAATTCTAAACTGGAACTTTTTTCGTTAAACACACCCCAAAATTAAATAAGTCGGATTACATTTTACAGTGACGCTTCGAGGAGGAACCAACCTCCAAAAACAAAAGCTAAAATCTTAAAGAAATTTGTTGCAGAAAATAAAAGAAATGCAGATTTTTCTACCCTCCTGCTTCAGTAAGTTACAGCCGGTTTCTTTTCTTTTTATGACTCTTCATAAAAACGTTCTTCCTCACTGGTTTGATAAAAGATTCAACAACACATATTTATTTCTACACCAGCTGAAGGCCCCACAAAAAAAATAAAAATACACATTTATGACTTTATTTCTACATGTTACGCCACATATTTTCTAATTAAATTCACGCCTTTTCATGAGGCCTCATGCCAACAATTCATTCCTACTATATCCTAAAATATTCTCTTAATTTCTCTGCTGTAATAATCTGTCATTGTTATAATCTTCATATAATCTGGGAGATTAACAGCACGTGCATCATTACAAACTAGCCCCACAACAGTTGAGACGGAGCTTCTTTCCCCTCTTTAACCCTCGGGTTTCCTTCGTTTCCACGGGTAACTTTTGATGTTTTCTCCCACAAGTCATTAAAGCAACAGGAGGAAGATGAGAGCCGAAGGCTGCTGGTTCGCTCGCTAACGAGCTGCTCCTCGTTGGGAGTTTGGGTTTCAGAAAACATGCAAACTGTGTTTTAATAAAGCATCAAACAAATTATTTGTGCATAAATTATGATAATGGGCGGTTGAAGAGAAACTATAACATGTTTGGTGTGAATTTGTGGCGATTTGAGTCTTTTGGAGTTGTTTTAAGGAAAAAAGATGAATCGGATGTGAAGGTTATTGCTGTGACAACGTCATAACTTAGCTTCTGTTGCTGTTATTTAAATTGGTTAAAAGAATATCCGCAGTGCCAGTTACCTAACAGACTACACACATTAAATGTTAAGGAGCATAAAACAAAGTGTTTGTGGGTAAATCTCACCGGCCTCCCCGCTTGGCTGTTTCCTTTTCGTACTCCTTTTGCAGCACTGAGAGATTGCTGGGAAGATACTCCTTACAGATTCTCATGGCGTCGCTCCACATGTCTGCATCCTGACAGTTAAACAGAAAATCACATCAAAACGTGTGGATCAGTCGGAAATAGAGCGCTACGACTTTTGGTAGTAATACAGAATATGGTGTACACAGTTCCCCCTGCATAGGAAAAGCCCACAACATCTTCAAGGACACGTCTCACCCTGGACATGATCTGTTTGAACAATTACCTTCAGGGAAAAAGTACAGATCTATCAAGACAAGAACAAACAGATTTAAAAATAGATTTTACCCGTCAGTCGTTACTGAATTTACCAAAAGCTGTAATAACAACTGAACAAGTGCAATAAGGGACAACTTGTCAATCTGCTTGTGTTGCACATTTATACATGTTCCTGTTCTTAGTTTTCCACACTGCCTTATAATCTAACTGGTTTTTTATTTCTTTTCGCTACTTTTCCTTTTGACTGTCCTTTTTCTTGCTATTTTGTTTTGATATGTAAAAAAAAAAAAAATGTAATTTTGTATGCCTCTTTTGTGATTGTCTATTGTTGTCGTTTCTCACTGTTGTCATCACTCTTTCTTAAGAAATCGTGTCTCTCTCGTAAATGAGTCCTCGAGGCTCAGTGGGATTAACCAGTCTAAATAAAGGTTGAATGTTCAGGCTGGAACACTGGAAAAACTGGAAAACTGCCAGAACTGACGTAGCGCTAAGCTAGCGACATGCAATACAGACTCACTAGCTAAAAAGCTAGAGTAGCGCTCGTTTCCCTCGAGCTGAGCCGTCTCCCACCTCCTCCCCCGGTCGAAAACTGTCAGTAAAAACAGCACGCAACATCTCCACTGCCCCCCCTCGTCGACAAAAATCACAGAAGAGATAAGCGCCCTGCCAAAGCAAGTAATGTAGGGAAACACTGATATCTGTTTGTCTAAACTTGGTTTTTAGTTTTCAGTTCCACCTGTTTAAAGTGATACTCCTCCCCTTTTTTGCTCCTGCCCAACAAAGAGGCGGGAATCACCATGGCAACCAGTGACTCAGCAGAGTTTAGATCACCAGCTTTTATATTAAACAAGCTTTTTTTTTGTTCTTCTCCATTATGGCTGCCCTCATAGATCTGTTTATTTTCAGACTTTATCTTTAACTTACCTTTAATAATAAGGAGAATCAAGTTAAAGGAATTTAGTATTTGAAGGAATAAAAAACGGCGGCACATTGGTGCAGTTGGTAGAGCTGCCGCCTCTCAACGAGAAAGTTGACGGATCAAATCTCAGCCGGGGGCCTTTCTGGGTGGAGTTTGTACGTTCTCTCTGTGGGTTTTCTCCGGTACTCCAGTTTCATTGGTAACTCTAAATTGTCCCTATGTGTGAGTGAGAGTGAATGGTTGTTTGTCTCGTTTGTCTCTATGTGTCTCTGTGATGGACTGGAGACCTGTCCAGGTGTCTCTGTGATGGACTGGAGACCTGTCCAGGTATCCCAGCCTCTCGCACAGTGACAGCTGGATATGGGCACCAGTGACCCCTGCAACCCAAAAAGGAAGAAGTGGGTAAAGGTAATGGATGGATAGATGGATGGATGGATGGATGGATGGGTGAAGATAATCGATAGATGGAAGTCATAAAAAACAAAAAAAGCAAACGCGACCAAGTTTTAACCAAAAATTTCAAACTACCGTAACTATCAAAGCTTGGAAATTCAAAAATTAACGATTCATCTTTATAGAAGGAAACTGTTCAAAAGCGTTGTAGTAGTTTTGGGCTGTAGCTGCATTGGTACCTTTAAATTTTCTAGTTTAAATAAAAAAAAATAGTATTGCACGGCATTATTATTTATATTTATGAACCTTTATTTAACCAGGCAGATCCCATGGACATCACAGATCTTTGCCTGAAGGCTAACGTGCACGTTTTCGAACTGTGGAAGGAGACCGGAGTACCCGGAGAAAGCTCACGCACAAAAGAAGAGAACATGCAAACTCCACACAGGTCCAACCCGAGGATTGAACCCAAGACCTTCTTGCTGTGAGGCAGCAGTGCTAACCACTAATCCATCGTGCTGCCATAAACATGAGAGTATGACTGAAATGAGAGTAAAACGACTAGAGACTAAGTAGCTGAAGTTACCTTGTAAAGTTTAACAGCCAGTTCGGGCCTCTGCGCTCGGAGCAGGAAGGCTTCAGACTTTTGGAACTCCTTCTGTTCAAAGCACGACTTGGCTTGGCCCACCAGAACGTCAGAGACGCTCTCCGGATCGTGGCTCTCGGCCACTCGCTGCGCGCTCGCCCAGTCCTTGTGGTGGACGTACCTGGAACGGATCACACACATTCCCACCAGACCAAACCTAAAATGTTTTTTTTTAAATCCTTTGTAGATTTTACACAAACTTTCCACCAAATCCAAAATAAGAGACACATAATTTTATTAAGTTGAGCTTCAGAAAAATAAATGGGAAATCAATAGAAAAGAACATGACACTACTTTGAGAGATGCCCATAAATTATATTAATGGAGGTTTTGCACAGAACTGATTTAATCATTTGAGGAGTATTAAATTAATCTCCTTCATGTGTCACCGTTACCTTTATGAAATCAGTGGTGCATCAAATGCTTATTTTAGGACAAATCACCAATAATTCATAGTAAAAATACTCATTTGTAATTAATAGTTCTCTATTCAGAAAGTTTAATTAAAGTAATGAAATAAAGGTAAAATATTAACTTCATTTTTCAAGTGTACTTTAGCAAATTACATCATAACTGCAGGGACGGCTGTCAACGGGGGGGTGTACAATGTGGGCAACAAAATAACGTGCACGGCCTCAAATACAGCTTGGCACAAAAACAGGCTGTGGTTTTAAGAAGCAATCCTCACAAACTGTGGCTCCACATCTAGCTGGTAGCAAAAAGACTCAAAATGGAGTAACACCGACTAGTCCCAACTAGTCCGGTGAGATAATGCGGACTGCTCCGGTACTCACATCGACACGGCTTCTTTGGGTTTTCCTGCTTTAATGAACTCGACTTCAGCCTCAGGAAACCTTCCCTGGGAAAATGGAACATGTCAGAATTAAGGATTAAGAGTCTCGGTGGCAGAAAGTATGAGCTGAAACTGGGTGGTAATAATGTCACCGAGCAGCGTTAGCGACTGATCAAATTTACAACAATTATAATAAGAGCAGCTTGTCAGACTGTTGGAGCTTTGTTCTGATAAGGGGCGACTTTCTCCTTTTTCTCTCTGCGCTCAATAAAGAAAAATTCTGGTTTTAATGAGCTCGGCCTTATTACAAAACGTTGAACATCGTTCGGTGATCACATCAGAGTTATAAACAAAACCTTTGTCTTTGTGACGGCTGCTTAGATAAATGAGACTGCTGGAAACGGATGTAATAACTGAATCTGGTGGAAATGCGGCAGTCGTACCTCGTCCTCCAGGTATATGGCGTACTTCAGGTGGATCTCTGGAATCCTCTCCTTGCTGGACAAGCGAGCCAGGTCAAAGGCAAAGTCAAAGGAGCTGAGAAGAAGAGGAAAAAAAAAAAAACCTTAGATCACAGAAAAGAGCGTTTTAAAGTCTCCAACTTTTACTTAGTAGGAGAGTTTTTGTTCTGTGCGTGTCGTCACGATGCTCACAGGTTATTTGAGGCCGTCTCGACGGCGTAGTCCAGCAGGCCGAACTTGTTGAGCAGCTTGACGGCAGCTTCTCCTCCCAGACTCCGGGCCCACAGGTAGGCCACCTGCTTCGGAGCTCCAGCACCTCCGTGGCTGGTTGCCACCTGATGAACACACACAGTACAAACATGTGTGTGCATGTATCAGCGCTGGAGTCATTTGGTCAGAGATTTACCACAGATGATGCCCGACAGCAGACACCAAGTTACACGTGGGTTTGTGACACTTTATAGCGTTGGGGGGGGGGGATCCAACATAGTAAAGCTAGTAATATTAAACAAGTTTCACTACCTAATTCTAACAAACCATCTATTGTGGGTACAAAAGATAATCAGTAGTAAGTGGCATTAGCAGTACAACAAGGGAAGGTATCAAATTCAATTTAAAAAGTTTGCAACTACCTTTTTTTTTTTTTACCAAAACTACCACAATACGGTAAAACAGTACTTAAATACAAATAAAAAAGGTCAGTACTTTGGTACTTTTATCTTCTAAAAAGCTTTTTGCTATTTGAAACTAGCTTTTTGACACTATTAAGTTTTAGTTTAGCCTTTGACTACAATTAGCTAGAGTCTTGATACTTGTAATTCTTAGGTAGCTTTTAGTTAGCTTAGCATTTAGCTACCATTTAGCTAAACTTTTTGCAACATGAAGCTTTTAGCCAACATCTTGTTACTTTTAGCTTTTAGGAAGCCTTTTACTATTTTTAGCACTTTGATACCAGTACTAATTTTGAGCTAGCTTTTTGCTAATGTTTGCTTTTAGTTGGTCTTTTGATACTTTTAGATTTTAGAGTGTTTTGCTATATTTAGTTGCTATATTGCTACTTTTAGCTTTAAGCTAGCATTTTGCTTTATTTAGCTTTTAGCTACTTCTTTGCTTTTTCTGTGTTTTTCTTTTATTTTTGGCAGATTTTTTTATTCTTAATATAAATGTGTAAAAAGCGGTACGTTTAGACTTTTTAAAAATAGTCACAAAACTGAGTAAACTTGTAAAATGGTCAGATCTTTAAAACACCAGAGGATGAAGAACTAAAAGTTAGTCATTAAAGCCACATTCAGTGTAAAAGTGATAACATCCCTTCAGTTCTTCAGCGTCTCTGACATGCAGGTAAAGACTTTACACGAAGACACGAAGCAGAACAGTGTTGGAAACTCAACGAGTAAACAAAACGTGTACCCTGTGCGCGTCCTCCCACATGTCATGAACTCTGTACATATGGACGGCTGCTTTCCACTCCCCAGCCTCCATGAAGTGGTACTCTGCCTCTGAGAACCTGGACTCAGCCTCCAACTCCTGCAGCAAGCACATTTACAGCAAACATCATCATCGACTGCCCGCATGGAACATCAGAGCCTTTGGAGCTCAAACGCAGTAAAAAAAATTTAACTAAAATATCTGCAGCCACTTTCTGAAGCAGCACCGAAGGTTAGAAAAAAAACACAATTATGGATATAAGTTAAGACTTAAGAAGCGTGAGGCGTCAAAATGTTCTGATCCAGACAGAAACTCTACGGTTGATTTTTAAAATTGTGGCAGCGCTCAGAAAATAACCGAACAGATGCAGCTCTCAAAACAAAATCCTTCGATAATAGCTGGAGTTTTCTGATTAAAATGTCTTTAACAGGAAAAACATCTTGATGTAATTAAAACATGCAAAACCTCCAGGGTACATAGATTTGAAAAAAAAAAAAAAAAAAGAAATAATTGAAATCTTAGATGCCTTCGGATATTTTCATGTTCCTTTATAATATCTATTGTGTTTATATTTTATTGCTGAGATGATTTGTATTGAGACTTGGTGCTATATAAATAAGCTAAACTGAATAAAATGAAAAGGAATTACACGTATATATATATATATATATATATATATATATATATATATATATATATATATACACACACACACACACACACACACACATATACATACATACATATACATAGATGAAGTTAATTTGGAAGGTTCAGAAGTTCTTTTCATAGAAATCATGAGGGAATATTTTTAAAAATACAGTTCGGTGTGAAACTCCTTTTCTTTCGCCCTCTGTGGCTCTGAAAGTAAAAGCAGAGCACATCTTATACTGGAGCTTTAGTGAGAGCTACCTTGGCCAGGTGGAGGTGAGTCTCAGCCAGCAGGTCGGGATGATGCTTGGCCACCAGACGAATGACATCATCAAACATCTGGTTCTTCTTGTACATTGTGATGGCGAGGTCCGTCAGCTTCACAGTAGAAAACAGCCTGAAAGGCAGAAAGAGCACTTTTGTTTTGGACTTGTAGGTTTTTATGTTCATCTCGCAGCGATTAAGGTTAAAGGTGAAACTAAAAAACGTTTAGTCTGTTGTCGGTTTACCTCTCGGCCTCCTTGAATTTGCTGTCCCTCTCCAGCTCCTGGGCTCTGCTGACGTACAGAGTGGTGACTTCCTCCTCTGTCATACACTTCACTGCCAGCTGTGTGCAAAACAGATTATCAACGGAGCTGGAAATGAATCAAATGCCACAGACAGTTTGAGAAGAAACATCTAAATATACATTGACCTGACTGAGAATTATTGGATTTGATACCTGGATGATTGAGCATGAACTTTGTAATCTAAATATACAAAATGTGGGTTTATAAGAAAAGATGTAGGTCCTGAAAGACTTGGGTGAGTCTGTTCCGACCTTGTGAGCCTCCTCCCAGCGTCCTGCGGAGGTGTACATGTCGATGGCTTCTTTAATGTGACCTCCTTTCTCAAACAGCTGCTCTGCCACCTGCAGGTCCAACACAATTCACACAATGCTGAGTCAGCAATCCCGTCATTTCCCGGTTTATTTCTCCAAATGCTTTGTGAAATTAAACTATATGCATATACTTTGTGCCTTATTTAACTGCTCATAAATGAAAACAAGGCTTGTTCAGGAGAGAGGTGCTCTGACCTTTGATTTTTGTAACTTCAGACTTTCATACATTTAACTGTATTTTTAATGAAAAAAATTATTGTAGAAATAAACTCCATCAAAACCATTTTTCTGTTTAATAGTTAAATGTAGCTGGTTTTAGCTTTCAGCTAGATTTCTGCTACTTATAACGTTTAGCTAACCTTTTGGTACAACAGTATTAGCGTTAGGCTACTGTTTTGATACGTTTGCATTTAGCTTAACATTTTGTTACGGTCAGCTTTAAACCCGCATTTTGTTACTTTTAGCATTGAGCTACCATTCTGCTACTTTTAGCTAATCGTTTGCCTTTTAAAGCTTTTAGCAAGCCATATGTTACTTTTAGTTTTTGTCCAGCATTTTGCTACTTTTAACTAGTCTTTGGCATCTTAGCCTTTTGCTACATGTAGCTAGACTTTTGCCATTTTTATCTTTTAGCTAATCTTTAAGTACTTTTAATGTTTAGCTACCATTCTGCTAACTTTAATTAGCCTTTAGCCTCTTTTAGCTTTGTGCAAGCCATTAGCTTTTAGACAGAATTCTAGAACTTTTAGCTGTTAGACAGTATTTTACTTATTTTAAATTCTAGGTAGCTTTTAGCTAAACTTTTGCTACTTTTAGCTAATATTTGCTACTTTTAGGTATCCTTTTACTACATTTAGCTAGCCTTTTCCTGCTACTTTAGCCAATCTTTTGTTTCTTACAGCTTTTAGCAAGCCACATGTTGTTTTTTTAGCTTTTGGCCAGTATTTTGCTACTTTTAACTAGTCTTTGGCATCTTAGTCTTTTGCGACATTTAGCTAGACTTTTACTTTTATCTTTTAGCTAATCTCTAAGTACTTTTAGCATTTAGCTACCATTCTGCTAACTTTAATTAGCCTTTAGCCACTTTTAACTTTGTGCAAACCGTTAGCTTTTAGCCAGTAACCTACAACCTTTAGTTTTCAGCCAGAATTATACCATTTTAGCTGTCAGCTGGTATTTTACTTCTTTTACCTTCTAGGTAGCTTTTAGCTTGACTTTTGCTGTGTTTAACCAATATTTGCTACTTTTAGGTATCCTTTTACCACATTTAGCTAGTCTTTTGATATTTTTAGCTTTTAGCTAGTGTTTTGCTACATTAAGAGAATGATTTGCTACTTTAGCTTTAAGCTAGTGTTCAGCTTTTTTGTTTTTAGCTTTAACAGCTACGTTTCAGCTTCTTCAGCACATTTCTTCAGTTGTTCAGCATTCATGGAAAATGTTTGCAGAAAACACAACTTCTCTGGTTTTACACAACGATTAAAATGCAAACCTGAGCCTGTGAAAAACTATAAACTGACTACAAGCCGTTGAAGAGAACGATCAGCTGCTCAGTCGGCTGAAAATTATTTTCCGCAGCATAAAAGGAAAAAATAACTGCGACAACTCGATGACTACAGTGCAACAAACAGACAAAATGTCATTCTGATAATAAAAATGTTTAGTCGTTGTTCTTCCACAACACTTTTTTGTTTTTAACAGAAAGATACTTCAGGTGTGCGCTTCCTACGGTGTTTATAATTGGCAGCAAATCTCAGTTTCTGGCAGCCTCCGCTCGCAGGAGAGCAAAAAGCTTGTTATCTTAACTACTCTCTGTGAATTTGCCCGTAGAGCAATCTGACTGCAAAAGGTTTCTATTTGCAGAGGCTGGTGGCGTGTGGAGGCTGCTTGGCTCAGCTGAGCTCGTCACAGTCAGCACAACGCACTGCGAGCATCAACACCATCGCACGCCTTCCTGTTCTGTGCGTCTTACTCTGGGCTTATCTCATTACCTGTGCGATTTCATCAGTCAGGCACGGTAGATTCTGGTAGTTAAGCAACTTTTAAATTCAACACACAATTCATGAATTGTCCTTCAAGCCAAAGTATGCTCAAGCAAACGACTCCACAGTATGCACGGAGGTAGACCTGAGTACTAATGTGTGCGTCTAAATCTAAATAACTGTACATAATCCTCAGAGAAACACACACAAATTGTTTTTTTGGCAAAATGTCCACTGGTGTTAATTTAAGCTTCAAAATCAAGACTTTAAAAGTCCCTGTGTGACATAAGTGTGGATCCTGTCCTCATGCTGAGTAAAGTTGCTGACTTGGTCCATTTAGCATCTTCCTGCTGAAATAAGGCAGATAAATGTGACGTAAGTGAACTAAATCAGTAAAGATGAGTCACAACACCAAAACAATAAACACAAAAACACCAAAAGGCTTAAAGTATCCCTGAGATCATCATTAGGAGCGATACTTTTTATATTCCATGTAATCCTTGAATGTATTTTCATAAAATTATTCATGTTTCTTCAGGTTTAAACCATACCATACCATCCCACACCATCCCACACCACACCATACCATACCATCCCACACCATACCATACCACACCATACCACACCATACCATACCACACCATACCACACCACACCATACCACACCATACCATACCATACCATCCCACACCATACCATACCACACCACACCATACCATACCATCCCACACCATCCCATCCCACACCACACCATACCATACAATACCAGTTTTAGCTATAGAGCACTTTAAACACCCACAAGACCAAAGTGCTGTACACACAATAAAACAATCATAAAATAAAGATAATAATATCAATAAAGAATGATTAAAATAATTAAAAGTCAACATCACAGATGGTGTCAAAGGCCAGGGAGAAGAGATGGTTTTAAGAAGGGATTTAAAAACAGACTCTGAGCTCACGCTTTGTCTTCGGCACACTCGGGAGCAGCTGATCACATGACCTGAGGGATCCAGAGGGTGTGTACGGATGATGTAGCAACTTGGACAGATAGGGCGGGGCAAGTCCATTTGGAGCTTTAAAAGTGAATACAATAATTTAAAAATGAATCCTAAAATGTACAGGCAGACAGTGCAGGGAGGCTAAAACAGGAAATGTGGTAAATCTTTGGTGTGCCAGTTAAAAGCTGTGCAGCAGCGTTCTGTGCCCTCTGAAGCTGACAGATACATGAATCACTGATTCCTGTGTAGAGTGTGTTACAGTAGTCCAGTCGAGTGGTCACAAAGACGTGAACTACTGTTTGAAATGCCGTTGATAAAGAATCAGCTTCATTTTAGCCGCCTCAGATGGAAAAAAATAGTTTTAACGACAGCTCTAATGTGATTTTCTAACTTTAGTCCAGCATCGACTTTGACCCCTAGGTTTGTAATAGTTGGCCTGATATACTGAAAGGAGATCCTATATTTTCTAAAAATAGAGCCAAGAGGGAGCAGGTACAGCATGAAGAGAATGGGGCCTAACACTGAGCCCTGTGGGACCCCACACTAAAGAGAAGCAGAGGAGGACACGTGGTCACCAAGACAGACCATGAAAGTACACTTGGTTAAGTAGGACCTAAAAGTCCAGTGCTGTACTGCTGACACCCCACCCCCCCATATGTTACGGTCCACTGTGTCAAAAGCAGCCGATAAATCTAAAAGCAAGAGGACAACACAGTCACCAGTCTGTTGCTAAAAACATGTAATTAAAAAAAGATTAAAAGGGCAAAACTGAATTTTGAATCAAATTCAGTAATCATCATGGAGATAAAATTCAGACGAGGAGAGGTGTGGGTAAAAATATACGCTGAGTTAGAAATTAATCTGGAAAAGTACTGAACATTGTTTCAGCAAAACAACTCATTTCAAGGTAACTCACTGCTCTTTATAGTAAGCAGAAGAACGTTTCCTGAGGATATAGAATACAATTCCAAAATGTATTTTTGTCATGTTTGCTGATCAAACACAAACAGGTTACATTTCAGTTATCTAACAATAACTTCTTACATATTGCTCAACACTCCTCAGTCCTCATCATACTTTACTCTCCTCCATACTTTTCCTCCTCTTCCCTCCTACCTCGTAGTCCTGCATGGAGGCGTAGTGCTGAGCTATTTTCAGGTAAAATCTCCCTGCAGATGAGTCGTCCTGTGAATCCAGGATTTGGACGGCTTTCTTCCACTGGCGAGCGGCGATGGACGCCTCGATGGCTTTAAGGTAGCAGCTAAAAAACAAGACAGGCGAGATGTGACTCCACAGCAGCCCCTTAAATGGAATATAGACTTTAAAATAGTGTGACTGTGGAATGCTGCATTAGTTACAATCAGAAAACTTCTGAATACTTTGCACTGATTTAACTGTTCGTATATCAAAATGTTTGGCTTGATCAGAAATAGTGTGGTATTATTTTTATGACTTTTATAATTCTTGAATTATTCAACTTTAATTATTGAGCATGAACTTTGGTGTTTTGAACCACTTTGACATGACTGTCTCAGAGGAGAGGGCGGGCCCCAGAGGAGAGGGCGGGCCCCGGAGGAGAGGGCGGGCACCAGAGGAGAAGGCGGGCCCCGGAGGCGAGGGCGGGCCCCAGAGGAGAGAGCGGGCCCCAGAGGAGAGAGCGGGCCCCAGAGGAGAGAGCAGGCCCCGGAGGAGAGGGCGGGCCCCAGAGGAGAGGGCGGGCCCCAGTGGAGAG